GTCCCAAGAGATTTTTGTGATACCAGAGGCTAGAAGAATCATCGTTCAGCGAAGACTCTGCTTTTTATTAGCAGTGACCTAACTGCTGGCAAAGCTCTGGCTTGCTAGGATAATTTCGCTTTCCCTGAAACATAAATTTCTTTAAAAAAAAAAAAAAAGAAGAAGAAGAAGAAGAAGAAGAAGAAGAAGAAGAAGAAGAAGAAGAAGAAGGGGAAAAAGTCATGTTGCCCTGCTCCGATCTCCCAACCATGGACTACTCCCGCCCCCCCTCCCCCTCCTCGGGACTAGATCCCTGCTCTAAAACACCGTCCCGCGGTGAGATCTCCAGCCATGACATACAACCATGAATTTAGATCCCCTCCTTGCAAATACAGTTCCCCGATTAGATCGCCCCCCGTGAAATATGGCCTTTGGGTTGGCACATGCCGGTAAAATATGGCTTTTGATTAGATCACTGCGGGGAAGGCTGAGTCGCTAGCTGGGAGCGGGGCTCTTTACCACAGCCTCACAGAATACAATATAAACATACGGAGAGGGAGAGAAAGCAGGCAAGGTGAATTATTAACATGACATTCTGGAACTCAGACTTCCTTCGACGTTGTCAGGGGGACGGGAGAGGCTGGGACAGACCCGGGCATGGAGCCTCACCTGCCATGTGGGCGTCGCCCTCAGCGGGGTGGCAGTGGTGGTGGTGACAGTGGATGTCCTGGGGCTTTCCATGTGCCGGGCACCGTGCTGAGTGCTTTAGGTGTTAGTTCGGGTTCCCCAAAAGGAAGGTGACATTGTTATGGTTCTCAGTCACAGGGGGAGCTGAGGCACAGAGAAGTGAGGTCACCGGCTCAGGGACACACAATGTCAGAGCTGGGATTTGAACCTGGGTCGGCTGCCCTTGAGACTTTATCCTCAACCACTGCCCTTCGGTTGACTGAACTGATGCAACCCCTGGCTTGACCTGTGGGTGATGTGACCCCCACAGACTTTCTGCTGCTGCAGGGGTCAGGGGGTGGGGACCCCTGCAAGAGTCAGAGATGATGGGTGCTCTCCCCTGGGTGAGGATCAGGACAGAGAACCAGGGGGATCAACTGGGCCCATCCCCGAATTTAACTAGAAGCTTAGGCCAGAGCTGGGCAGGGGCAGAGCCAGGCCTAGAAGCCCAAGTCACCTGCCTTTGAAGCAAGTATATCCCACTTGCTCTATTAACCTCTCTCTCTCTCCTTCTTCCCTCCCTCCCTCTCTCTTCCCCTCTCTCTCTCTCTCTGAAAGGTGTAGAAAACTAAATTGAGATACTATGTTTATTTGGCAAGATGAGCTCACTTGTAATGGGGGCTGACCGGGGGGCCCCAGGCGCTGTCATGGCGGAGCATTTCTTCCGGAGCAGCCCTGAAGCCGCCACCTGACCAACGCCGTGCCCTCCCACTGGCTGCTGGGTGGGGACAGGAGCCCTGCTCTCTTGCCTCAAGTCAGGGCAATTAGGAGGGTCCTCTCAGCTCCAGGAACCGCAGTGGGCCTGGCGGGGACCCCACAGCCAGCTCCCCTCTGCCTGTTTCTCTTTCTGCATTCCTCCCGGGCCGGCCCAGACACCCGGGAAACCCACACAGCTCTGGTCTCCCGGTGGGTTCCTCAGAGCCCGCCCAAGGCAGACTCTCCTCGGTGTCTTCAGATTCCAGTTTCTGGTGCATAAACTGGGGATATGAGCACAGTTACCCCAGGGTGTGTTGTAGGCAAAAGTGTGAAGGTGTGTGTGTGTGTGTGTGTGTGTGTGTGTGTGTGTGTGTGTAATGTGCTCAGCCCAGCTCCTGGAACACAGTATGTATTCAGTAAACATTTATCCAAATCCCTGGTGGGGGATCCCCAGCTAAGAAAGCAATTCGCTTCACCTCCTTTCACCTGCAAAGTGGGGCCAGTGGTGGTGTCTGCCTGCTGGGCCTGAGGGCCCTGGGGCCAGAGCAGGGACTCCTCCCACGCCAGTTCTGACCCCCCCCCCCCTCTCTCCCTCTGCCTGGGTGCTCTGCCAGGGAGGGGGTGGGCAGTTCCTTATCTCTCTGGAGCCAGCCAACTGGCCAGCGCTTATCTGGGATTTGTGAGCTTGTAAAACATGGCGCTATCACATCATCACCCTGGGGCCAGGGTGCTCCCTGCTGGGCTTTATCAGAGGTGAATTTGGCCTGTGATTGAGGGAAAGCCGGGTTATCCTGGGTGGATGGCAGCCAAGTCCAGTGGGGAAGCTGGAGGGTAACGGGCCTGCCTGTCGGGGTTGGTGTGACACCAAAGTGGACAGGCAGTGTGCGTGTCCCCTCTCCATCTCTTCCCTGCAGAGACATTTCAAACTGTGGGATGACCCCGCAAAGCTCCAGGAACCCAGAGGAGAAAATTCTGGGTTAAAAAAATATATATAGTGGCATTAATTAGCCCCAGTGACCCCCTTCAGCTGTCTATTCCTCGTTAAGCACCTACTATGTGCCCAGCACTTAGCTGCCCAGAGCACTGGGCTTGGTCTCAAATGTCTACTTCTCACGGGTTCTAGCTGTGTGACCTCGGGCCAGTCACTTGTCCTCTCTGAGCCACAGGTGTCCAAAGGGAATAATAGTACTCATCTCGCCAGGTTATCATCAGGGCCCTTTGCGGCAGTGACTGCCAGGGAGCTGCCCTATAAACTGTGAAGTCTAGTGCCCAGAGGAAAGACATAATCTAAGGATAAGCTTGCATGTAGACTACACACCAAGAGAGTGGGGTGCGGTAGACCCAGGAGCCAGAGCGGGATTCCATGAGTGGGAGCAGATTGTGCTGGTGAAGACACTAGGGGTGGGGAGGGAGGGGGTCATAGAGAGAGGGCATTCCAGCAAAGGCGGTGGGCAGGGTCACTCGGGCAGGCCCTCCCGGAGCTGGCCGGCAGCCGCCTTGCTGGTCAGGGAGGCCGGGCCCATCTGGCTTTGTTTTCCTCCTGCTGTTTGGATGCTTTTCTGCTGAATTCCCCATTTGTCATTGTTTCTCTGCAATTCTCTTTTGAACTTGGCATCTGTTTGGGCTCCATCGGGGTCCCCGCCTTCTGGGCTCTGATGCTCAGATCTGTTTGCAACCTGGGCACCTGGTCTGAGGGCAGAAGGTGGCTCCGGCGCCCACAGCAGGTCTTGGGGATGGAACCAGGGATGGGCGGGGCGAGGGCAGAAAGCCCTTGTTCACACGCTGGCCCTTCCTGACCCTAAGCATGAGGCACCTGCCTCTGCTGAGAGTCCAGCCAGCAGCTTCCCTTCCTTCCCGGCTTCTCAGGGGGCCACCGTGGGCTCCCCCTTCTCCAGCTGGCCAGGCTGTCTCTGCTGCACCAGGTTTTGAGCAGCAGAAGAGCCTGGCATTCCGACACTCGCTTTGGAGCCAAGGGAGCCTGGGTTTGCCCCTGACTCTGTCACTTAACAGCTGAGCATCCTTCGCTGTCTCTGTGTCTCCGGGAGCCTGTTTCCCACCTCTGAGAAATGGGGAGAGCTCTGCCTGCCTGGGGATCGCCTGAGGGCGCAAAGGCATGAAGCCTGGGATAAGGCAGCGGGAGGAGCAGCGCTCTAGGCCCGGCTGGTGGAGCCTGCGTTCTGGGTCTGCCAGGGCACCTAAGCTAGCGCCTCTTTCCTCATCCACAGGAAGGGAGGAAGAGCAAGACCTGCCTTGCAGAGTGGAGGGGAGCAGTCGGTGAGTTTATGTATCTGTCAGGAGCCTAGAACCGTGCCCGATGCTTCGTCATCATTCATCACCGGCATCCTTCCTGTCCAGGAACATTATTCTGGGGCCAAGGAGAGGGCCCAGGCCATGGCGCAGTCAGGAGCAGGGGACCTTGAGCACCAACCATGTTCAGCATCTGGGCTGATCTCTGTGTGTGGGTGTGTGTGTGTGGGGGGGGGGGGGTAGGGGAGCCGTGCGTGAGATGTGTGTGTGTGGGGGGGGAGGTGCAGGTAGAATCAGAAGACTCGGATTTGAGTCTCTCCCCTTGCTATTGTCTGGATGGACTCCAGCTAGTTACTTCCCTACCAAGTTCAGTTTTTGTTTTCTTTACCTGGAAAATTAAGATCATCTCTCCCCTGAAGCATTCGTGAGAATTAAGCAAGAAAATAAACATTAACATTTTTTTGAAAACCGAAGCACAGCGGACTGATTCCACACATTTGTTTAGCGTTTCTCCACCGAGCTTCTGTGTGGAAAGCACTGCTCTGGCCCTGGGCAGGCCGGACCCAGTCCCCACAGTCCTCTCTCTAGAGGGGGCCCAGGGCAGCACACCCCACCCAGCGGGGAGTGAACTCTCCATGGTGCTGAGATAAGCGCTCAGTGTGGAGGGCTAAAGGCAGTGGCAGGGCCCTGCAGGGAGGCCCGGAGAGGAGGTGACATTCGACAAGATAGCTGAGTGAGAGGGGACAAGCTCACAGATCCATGAGGCCAGGGACTGACGGGCAGAGGGAAGGCAGCACAGAAGGGGGCAGTTCAAGGGATAACGAGGGGAATATGGTGTCTGCAGGGCCTGGAGGCAGGTCAGAGTTCGGGATCCAGTCCAAGGGAGGTAGGAGCCACGGGGGGCTTGGGCAGGGGAGGGACATGGTCTGGTGGGATGTTTGTCTGTTACACTCATGGGGGTATATGCATATTGTTAGCCGCCTGGTGGGGTGACTCAGTTGGTTGGAGGGTTGTCCCATACACCAAAGAGTTGTGGGTTCGATTTCCAGTCAAGGCATATAACTAGGTTGCTGGTTCTTTCCCTAGTTGAGGCACATACAGGAGGCAACCAATCAATGTTTCTCTCTCTTCCCTCTCTTTCCCTTCCTCTTACTAAAGACATCCTCAAGTGAAAATGAATATATTAGTTAACCTATGATGGGTGACAATTTTTCCCATGAGTGTGTGTGTGTGTGTGTGTGTGTGTGCATACACACACATGCAGGGAGGGTGTTTGTGAGTGTTTGGGAAGGGTGTCTGTGAGTATGGGGACACTGCTATGATTTAGAGAACAATCAAGAAGCAGAAAAGAGATACTTACCTGATGGGGAGAGGCCATGATCACAAAGAAGGTTTTCCCAGGGCGAGGCTCACCTATTGCACTCCGGATGTGCTGACCCCTGCGATTTCCCCAAATGTGGGATACTCGACTGTGTACTGTGGTAGTGGGGACTGCGTTCGCGCTCTCCCCTGGAAAGAAAGAAAGAAAGAAAGAAAGAAAGAAAGAAAGAAAGAAAGAAAGAAAAGGAAAGGAAAGGAAAGGAAAGGAAAGGAAAGGAAAGGAAAGGAAAGGAAAGGAAAGGAAAGGAAAGGAGAACCAGAAAAGAATTGGAAGAGTCAGTGTCTGAGGTGCTTTTTGACTCAGAGGCTCTGATTTCATGAAGAAACAGCTCTATGGCTTGTTTCCCAAATCCCCAGACGGGGAGTGAATTCAGGCTAATGGGTGGGATTTAGGGTGAAGCTGGGTGTGGAAGACGCTTGGCGGACTGGTCAGCAGGGGAAGCCGCCGGAGTCCTGCTTCTGTGGAGCCGGAGGTCTCAGAATCCTTGGGGAGGGAAGGGAACGGAGACGGAATTAACAAAAGCAGCCGGAGCTAACGTGTGTGGGCATTTACTGCGTGCGGGCTTCGTGCTCGCTCTCGCCATGAAATCCATCTCTGGGCCTCACATCCGCTGTGCTGGGCTGGTAGGACTTCCCTGATGAATGGCTGCCCAGGTGGCTAAGAACAACAGAAATTCATTCTCCCACACTTTGGCAGGCAGGAGTCTGAGATCAAGGTGTCCGTAGGGCACACTCTCTCCCAGGGCTCCCGGGAAGGCTCCGTCCCTCCTGTCACCGCTTCTGGGGCTGCAGCCAGCCTGGCATTCCTTGGCTTGTGGACACACCGCTCTGTCCTCACTCCTGTTATCAACACATGGTGCTCTCTCGGTGTCTCTGTGTGTCTGTCTGTCTCTCCTCTTATAAGGGCCCCGGCCGTATTGGATTAGGGGCCATACACCCAAAAGCAATATTACATCTTAACCAACTACATCGGCAAAGATTTTACTTCCAAGATCACTTTCTGTGCTGCAGGTGGGTGTGAGGGCCGGGACACAGCCCAGTTATACCGATTCTTTCGAGAGGGTAGGGGTTTCACCCCAATTTCACAGAACCTCCAGAAGGTGACATATCCCACTCAAGGTCACACAGCTGCAAAGCTGGATTTGAACCTTTGTTTTGACGAAGGTTCACTCTCTTGCCAAACCACCCGCTGCCTCCCTAGGGACTGGCATGGGCGCCGGCAAAAGGGCACAAGGCACCCAGGGGTGCTCAGGGCTCCCCTAACGGATCAGCGTGCTGGGGTTTGCATGGTGGGAGAGCAGCTGAAAAGGTGGTGGCATGAGGCTCAGAACAGGCGTGGAGAGAGGCAGAGGGGCCTCTCCTTTCTCTCATTCTTCACCTTCTGGATCCTTCTGAGCCTGCCAAAGACCAGTGCTCCCTCCCAGGTTCCCTCGTCCTGCCCGGGTGTCAGCCCTGCCCCAGCTGCCCAGCATCGCTGCCGGTGTCTCTCTGGAATGAATCTGTCCTCTTTGCACCTTGCATTCCCTGACTCGGAGTCACTGAGACCCGCCGGGCAAGGACTGGGCTGTGTTCTCCTGAGCTCCCGGCGCTAACCAGGGAGCGGCACATTGGGGCACGGCAAGTCCCCTCACTCATCCACAGGGAGTTCTTAGCACGATCACCTGCTGGAAACTGGACACCTGGACCGGCATGCCGGGAGACAGACACGCAGACTGGCCATGGGGGAGGTGCAGGGGATCATGGGAGCCCAGCGAGGATTCTGGTTCAGAGAGGGGAGTGGGAGGGAGGCAGAGAAGGCGTCCCAGAGGAAGCGACTGTGAAGCGTGACAGGGGAGGCGGTGCGGTGACACGGTGATGGGAAAGGAGAGGGAAGGTCAGTGCAGCTGGCAGAGCGGCAGGTGCAGAGCCCTTCGGCAGGAGAGAAGCTCGGAGCTTCCAGAACTGCGGGCAGCTGCTGAGGCCGGGCGGCAGGGGCAGGGTGAGGGCTCCAGAGAGAAGGTGGGCAGGGAGGGAAGGGTTGCTGGAGGAGTCCAGATGAGGAGGTGGGGCATTCTCCCAGGATAGCTCTTCCCTTGAGATGGACAGGAGGCAGGCGGCACTGAGGACTTTGGAGCTGGACACTGACGTGGCAGGAGGCTTTTCCTGGCAGCAGTGAGGGAGGCTGGAGGCAGGGAGGCAGCAAGGAGCCCATCCTGTGATCCAGGAGAAAGAGGCCGGTGTGCTGGATGGATTCAGGGCAGGGAGGGCTCTGAAGAAGGGAGAGACTTGGGTTCAGTAAACGCTCAGTGCGCTGGATTCGGTATTGCTGCAGGGCTTGATTTGACCTCAGCGCAGGGAGGAAGGGTATTATGCACCCCTCCTGGCCCCTGCTGAGCGGAGGAGGGGCCTTCCTGTTGGGTGGGGAGGGGAGTATGGGGTGAGCACAGGGAAGGCAGGAATGCAGTCTCTGGGTGCTATCCCTTAGTGAATGAGCAGGCCTACCCATTTCCTGAGACTGGGTTCTCTCCCTGGCCCACAAGCCCCCACGGGGTTGGCGTGTCTGCAGAATCCAGGTGCATACTGCATGGCCTGGAGCTTAACAACCAATCACTTAGATGCCAGCAAGAGAGCCCAGGTCTGTGTTCACAGCCACAGCTTAGCTCGGGCCTCCGAGGGGTCCTTAAGATGCCACCCCGAAACAATCCGTGCCAGGGCTGACAGCTATTGATGGCTCACTATTCACCAGACCCCACCACAAGCGCTCTATGCTTCATCTCATCTGAGTCGCCTAGCAGCCCCACCAGGTAGGGACTCATTATACCCATTTGACAGATGAATAAACTGAGGCTCCCAGAGGGGAAGTGATTTGCCTAACATCACACCCCTTGGAAGTAGCAGAGCTGGGACTGGGATGCTTGTCTGCAGGACTCCCGAGCCTGGCCTGTGCCCCCTCCCCCCAACCCGGGGAAGAAGCCATTTTCCCAGGAGGCTGCTGGATCTGGAAGATCACCTTCACCCCGAGCTGCAGAGCAGGGTGGGAAAGCCGCCCCCCCCCCCAACCCCCCACCCTGTCCCCCCGCGTGAAGGAAGACTGATGGGCTGGCTTCCTTTCTTTTCCTGGCTTCCCGGTACCAAGTATATATTTTTTCTAATCGGCCCGGCTGCTGATGGTTATCTGGCTTCGCGAGAGAGCGAAAGAGACTTTGTGTCAAATGCTGAAAAATGACTTTTCAGGCAGCCTCTCCGTCTCCTGAAAGGAGGTGACGTGCTCGGAGCATACAAATCACTCAGCGCCCGGGCATCTCGACGCAAGGAAGGAGTGTGTTTAGATTGTTAAAACCGCTCCCGTCCCTTCCCAAGGTCACAGGCAGGCAACCCGGCGTCCTCGGGGCCTGGGGGACAGCGAGGCCGGGAGGGGCGAGGGGATGTGACCCCGGACAGCGAGCCCAGGGGGTTCCGGGTCCCCGAGGGCTCTCCTGGGTGCAGGAGGTGTGAGAGCCCGAGAGGAAGTCTGGCCTGGGCTTCCGGTCTCCCTCAGCCCGCGTATGCTGTGCGACCTTCGAGGAGTTACTTGACGTTTCTGGACCCTGGGAACCCCTCCATGGATAGAGTCCCACAAACTCTGACGTCAGCGATGCCATTCACTCAGCTCAATGTCCTGATAAGTGAGTGTGCCTGACACCGACTGGCACTCAGAGGTCCCCAGGCAGTGGGACTGACTGAGATGCCACTGGGTGGAGGGGGAGAGGGTGGACCTGAATCCAGGCTCTGGGTTGAGCAGCCTGCTTTGGGTTCAAACCTGGTTCTGCTACTCCCGCTGTGTGACCTTGGGTTTGTGGCCCAGCCACTCTGAGCCTCAGTTTCCTCCTCTGTTGACTGGAGAAATCAGCAAGCCCATCTCTTGGGGCCTCTGGTGGAAGTGGCCCGTGTGACTGTCCTCAGCGAGTCGCAGTCCTGTCAGGTGACTGCTCCTTGGCTGCGCTGGCTGGGCAGGTCCCCTCGCCGCCCCAAGCCGTGGTTTCTTCATCTGTAAAGAGAGAATGAGGATTTGAAAGGACAAAGTTCTTAAGTGCGTGGCACACAGTAGGCTCTTCATCACTGATAATGTGGCTCTTTGCAGAAGGATTTTTAAAAATATATTTTATTGATTATTACAGAGAGGAAGGGAGAGGGATAGAAAGTTAGAAACATCCATCAGCTGCCTCCTGCACACCCCCTACTGGGGATGTGCCTGCAACCAAGGTGCATGCCCTTGACCAGAATTTAATCCGGGACCCTTCAGTCTGCAGGCCGATGCTCTATCCACTGAACCAAACCAGTTTCAGCTGCAGGAGGATTTTTTAAAAGACAATTCTGGTTTTTGACTGGAGCTGATGTCTTGCGTACCCTTTGGAAATGTATAACAAAGAAATGTCTAATGGAATGTATCTCAGTACCAACACTCCATTGACTGGAATGCTCCATTTCCTGAGTGGGCATGGGGGTCCCCTGGGGGGTGGTCTGTTTACCTGTGCAGGAGCCTGGTGGAGGTCTGGGCCTCAGCAGGTGACAGGTGCCCCAGTCTCCGACGTGGCAGTTCCTGGGCCCACCTGCGCTCCTTCCCGGAAGGCCGTGGGCGGGGAGCCGGCCCCCACCTGTGCGAAGCAGCCGCCAGAGAGAAAGGCGGGAGATTACGAGCCAGCTCCTGGGCTGCTGGAGGGACATTTGTCACTTGTCGCCCCGTTTTTATCTTCCTGGCTATAAAGCGAGAGAAGCCACCTCGTCAGGCTTTTAAAAGTACAGACGGTCTCCGGATGAGCTTGTGATGTTAGACAAGGCCTGCCAGGAGCTTGCCTCCTGCTAGACCAAACGAATGGTGCTCCCTGGCCAGGGAGAATTCTAAATTTAGGGATTTAGGGAGCGGGCCGGTGTATCAAATGCGAGAGAGAGAGAGAGAGAGAGAGAGAGAGAGAGAGAGAGAGAGAGGAGGAAAGATAGGGCCCCAAGCTCGGCACCAGGCAGAACACAGGCCTGGGCGTCACTGGATGGTGGGTGACCCCAGGTCCCGTCCCCTCCCTTCTGGCCCCACTTAACTCCTGGGGTGTGTGAGGATCTAATGAGATCATGGAGGTAAAAGCTTTACTGCTTAAAAGGATTAGCATATGCTGATGGT